GTACCTGGATCTGGAGCGGAGAATGCCGCGGCGGGCGTGGCGGGCGACGGCGCGGAGGGAGGAGGAGGAATCACGGCCGGCCGGCTGGCGGTGGCGGGGGAGGAAGGTGGGCTCGGAATCGGTGGGGGGAGCGACGACGAGGTCGCGGCGGTGTCTTTATACGACTTTTCCTCCCTTTTATTTATTATTATTTGTTTTTGTTTTGTTTGGACGAAGCGGAAGCGGACCGTGACCGTGTTGGGATTCGGCGGATCTGGTCGTGGTCCGGCAAGGCAGCGCAGCCCAAACTCCAAAGCGCGGCTCCTTTTCGCTTTCCCCGCTTTGCACCTCACCTGGTCAACAATTTCGGGCTTTTTTTTCAAGTAAAATGTATCGTAGGTCCATTAACGTCTAGAGGGATGTCATCGGGGTATATCAACTCTCAAAGTGTATTTTTGGGTTTATTAACTTTTTATGTAATGCACTGCAGGTCTATACCAGTTCGAGAGCTTGATAAATTTTCATTTAACCCCCTCCCTTCGATACATCTGTCTCAAAACATCCCGTAGGTAGCCCGGTCAATGGGCGAGCAACCACGTCAGCCCACCCACGCCACCACCGCACGAGCGAGCGGCCGCCCGCCCTTGCTAGTGCAGCCACGCCGCCACACGAGCACGCAGCGGCTACGCCGGGCAGCCACGGTGGCGTTGGTCGAGCGGGCGGGCTATCACGCGAGGCCAGCCATTCCGCCGTCGCGTGAGTGGGCGGGTGGCCGTACCGCTTGGATTCTTCGTCGGCGCACTCCTCGGCGGCATCATAGCACTCATGTTCTTCTTCTCCGTCGGCCTAGCGCACTACACGAGTATGAGCCTATGAGGACTCGAGGAGACACCATCGGCCACCAGATGTTGTGGTTGTGATCGCTCATGTGGACGACAGTCATGGAACGCATGGCATGGAGACGCTATCTGTGCAGCTTGGTTTGTCCATGGAGAAGCAAGCATCTCGCCAACCTCTTCTGTAACTGTGAGTACCGCTGTGGTTGACGGGGCTTGACATCTGGGAGATCCACCAGACCACTATGTAGCCCTCCGAAGGAGTCAAATCGAGCGGGCGCGTGGGATGTCGCCATTTCGGCATTGGCGTCGACACACATGCAATTTGGGACCGAGCTTGACCAGGAGGACGCGTGGGTGCACACTGCAGGCTCGTTCCAATTAGATGGCGCAGGCATCGCCTTCGTTTTCGGCAGACGTTGCAAGTGGAAGTGGAAGGTGCACGACGGGGTGGGGAAAGGAGCTGCTGCAGGCCGGCTCTAGAGCGGCATGCGCCCAGCCTAGCCTGGGGGCGCAGCCCAACCTCGACCGCTCCGTACCTCGCCCGCGTGAGCACTCGAGCCGCACATCAACCTTCGCGCTGGCCTACCAGCCGCGCGGCGAGCACGCGCTCACCCGCTGGCTCCGGGCTCGGCTGCGCTCGCCTGCTCCACATCTAACCCTGTCGCGCTGGGCCTCCGACTGGCTGGACGACGACGCAGCTGGCCACCCGCACGGTGCCGTGGCATGCCTGGCCTCGCGCGCCCGCCCACTCGACCAACGGCAACGTGGCTGCCTGGTGCAGCCGCTGCGTGTTCGCGTGGCGGCGTGGCTGCACCGGCACGAGCGACCGGTGGCTGCCAGCCCATTGACCGGGCTACCGTGGGGGCTGTTTTGAGACACATATATCGAAGGGAGGGGGTTAGATAAAAATTTATCAAGCTCTCGAATCGGTATGAACCTGCAGTGCACTACATAAAAAGTTGATGGACCCAAAAATGCACTTTGAAAGTTTGAAAGTTGATGGACTCAGATGACATCCCTCATAAAATTAATGTACTCATGGTGTATTTTACTTTTTTCGCCTTTCCCTTTGCGTTTCCTTGCATTTTCCCAAGTTGACTCGTGGGGTGTTGTACCGTGTCCTCGACTGGACTTGGTTCTAGGTTCCTCCTCTGCTCTCACATGCACGCATGTAGACGTAGTCCTAGATTCCTGCTCCTAATTAGTACTGTAGTAGAGTACTGTAGAAGCAGGAAAATGCTAAGTATACGCCCGTCGATCAAGGAGTTTTCTATAGCAAGGTGCTATGCAACATGGGAAAAAGTTGACCTGATTCTCCACATCGCAAGGATACGCAAGAGGTAACGCTCACGATTGGGAGATGCAACCGCGACTATTGTAGAGTAGCCAGCTACCGTTGGCTGGGTGTTACCGCTTTCGAGCAAAGTCGTCCTGTTCTTCAGCACTAATTTAGCAGCGAAGAAATAATATTTTTTTCTCACAGTAAATCAGTATAAGCCAAATTTTAGCGAAACGAACAGGGCCGTGGAATCTCTGTGTTGGGGCTTCCATTATTTTTAAAAGAAATGATCACGAAATCTCTTTACAATGCACTATCACGTGGGTATATACACTAAAGCAAATTTATTGCTTAATTTTGAATCGGGGGTGTCGCTTCTTATAGATGACCAAATAGGCCGCCCGGCCCAGCATAGCCCGAAAATCTTTTCGGGCCAGGCACTACATGGTGGGGCATATCTTGCCAAGCCAAGCACTACAAACCGGGGCCTTTCTCGTGTCAGGCTGCCCTAGTAAGCACTGCCTGTGTGATAGGTTGGCCCAGGACGAGGCATGCATCCCAATGTTGTTACTGCTTCCATGGTCATGTGGCCCTGTCATGGTCTGTGGCTCTGCGCATGGAGCGCCACTGCCCAAATTAAACCCTACCACAAGGGACGGAGGGAGCATCGTCGTCCATGCCCGCAACTCTGTTCACGACCCCTCGATGAGGTAGCATTGACACATAGGGAAGGGAGAGTTGGGCGGGACAGATGGAGGCTAGGGCGAGCAAGTTGCTACGTGGAGCAGCCGAGCAGGAATCGAGCATAGTCGGGCAGCTTCGCAAAGCATAGCAGGGAGGTCATCGGTCAGGCGGCTTCAGGGAGCAAATCGATAGGGATGGGGCAATTGGGCGACGAGGATTAAGGAATGCCGGAATGGGAAGTCAGGGTTGAGGTTAGTATATATATGCAAGCCGACATAATGGGCCTTTGTTGGGCTAGTGATTTTAAATGGTTGTGTCGTGCTACCTGATGTACCTGGGAGCGGCCTAGGCACAACTCTAGCCATTGGGCTAGGCTGGCCTGGGCACGGCATTCACGGAGCCATGCCGGACGTGTTTAGACCAGGCCAACTATTTGGCTTCTTGTTGGGCTATCGTGCCGCGGGCTTCTTGTACATCTATATTAGTTCTCACCTTGAATCACAAGGTTCCCCACCTTACCGTCTTCAAGCTCTCAAACAACATCAAGGGCATTCCATACCTTAGCCAAAGTTATGATTTTCGCCAAGCATCGAAAAATCAATAGACACCATGGTCCATGGATCGAACATTTAACTTTGGTATCTCGCCATGTTACCATTAAGGTGTAAAATGAAGTTAACGTGTTATCTTTTTGTTTAGCTAAAATATTTTACATAAACCATTAAAACCTAGCCATCGAAATGAAAATGACATGTGGCATTATTATTTACGTATGGGAGCCTACGGCTACCAAAAGCTTATATATGCACAAAACGCGCGGATAAAGAAAAACAACACAAGCAAGAGTAGCTGTATATATCGGATTTGGGCATTGCATGTACCGAATTAAACCCAAACCCGCAATAAGCTCCAGTGGTCAATTTGAAGCGTAGATTCCTTGAAATTTCAGGACGGCAACTTGGAAAGTCCTCTCAATTCGTGGCTCGACGTGACGTGACGTGAGCACGTGACAACCTCTAGAAGCAATAGGCGGCACCGACATGCACCGGTTTCCGTTTGACACAAGCAGCCAATTCGGTAGTAGTAGTACTCGCCGAAAAAAAAAAGCGTTGGTTTCGTAGGCTGGTAAAAGCAAAACCACCGAAAACGACGTGAAAGGCCACTGCGGCCGATCCTGCGTGCCTACACTAGAGATGCATCCAGCGAGTTAGTGACGGATGAGTGAGTGGCTGACGACCTTTCTAATGTCGACACCCTGATGATAATGGGGCCGCGTCTAGATTCCGACGATGCCGACCAGTCCAAATTCTTCCTGTGGCAGCATGCAGGAGATTCAACTCTTTGCGTTACCAATTTGATCCAGTGTGAGAGAATTTGATTCGATTTGGAGTCCATAAGAACCACTGGCTAGTGTTATGTATGTCTGCAGCAGATAGGTTCTACTTCTACCACCCATTTGCAGTAGTTATATGTCTTATTATTGGCTAGCATATGCCACACGCTACGTGAAAACGGTTTGTAGCAACGGAACAAAATTTTTTTAGGGGCGGCTGGTGATAGAGCCGCCCCTACAGTGGCGTGTTCGGGATTCACGAGACCAGCCGCCCCTAAAAATGGAACAGTAGGGACGGCTGGTGATACGAGCCGCCCCTACAAATGGGTAGGATTTGTAGGGGCGGCTCACTCACCAGTCCCCTCCGATGTTGCTATTTATAGGGACGGCTGGTGATTGAACTGCCTCTACAAATGGAACAGTAAGGGCGGCTGGTAATACGAGCCGCCCCTACAAATGCGTGGCTGCTGGACGAGCGCGGATTCGAAAAAATTATCAAATCCGGTGAACCGAAGAGGTCAGGTCCGCACTTTATCGAAGCCCCGTCCTCTCTCCTGCCCCGTCCTCTCTCCTCTCTCCTCTTCCTCTCCCTCCCCGCCGTCGTCGCCACCTCTCTTCCTCTCCTCTCCCTCCGCCGTCGCCGCCTCTTCCTCTCCCTCCGCTACGGTTCCGTCTTCCTTCCATTCCCCCACCCCACCGGTGACCGGTCCACCCCCGCCGGAGAGTTGTTGCTAACACCGCATAGATCTACGTGCAGCTGGCCGCTCTAGGGCCCAGGCACAGGGAGGCCCGGCGAATCCGTTCGGCGACCGCATGAGCGCACAGAGGCGGTGACCGAAAGTTAGAGCGCACCGCCCCTCCTTCGCCCCTCGGTGAGTCGGCAGCCATGGGCGGGGACGCATCGCATCCCCTTGCCGGGGCCGGCCGGAGTTCGCCGGATCTGGTGGACCTGTCCACCACGGAGGTGCGCGCTGGGGAGGGGGACACCTCGATGGCTGCGCTTGCTCCGCTCGGTGTAGCGCGCTCTCGTCCGCGACGTCACCGCGGCATCACTCTGGAGGAAGGGCATCCCCTTAACAATGGCGTATGCTCCGAATCACCTGTTAATCAGGTACTCTTTGGTAGTTTGATATCAGCTGTTATGTTGAAGTAAAAGATTAGTTTCATTGTGGCGACCGATGAGGATGGCTCGAATATGACTTCAACATATTGCTTTTATTATGTTATTATTACTCTTTGGTGGTTTAATCAACATATTATAAGAATATTGCCTCAACATGATAATAGAAGATAAATAGGACTATATACTTTAAGGTGCATCAGAGTATAACGGAGGATGGCTGTTAAGTAATAAAAGTAAAAGATTAGTGACAAGGCATGGAGTAGAATATTACTTTTATTATGTTGTTACTCTTTGGTACTTTAATCTTAGCTTTTATGTTGAAGGAATCAAAAGGAAAAACTGTTTTTACTTAATAGTATATACTCCTATTTATCTTGTCTGCTCCGAGAACTTCAGCAATGTGCCAATATATTGTCAATTTCAGCATTCCATAGTGTTTCTGATTTCACAACATCAGCATGTCCATTTGTCCTGTTTGTTCAGGTTGAGGTAAACCATGCTAGTGAAATTGATGCAATTTTTGATTCCATAAGCTATGATAAGGGTGCTTCTGTTATTCGTATGCTACAAAGTTACCTTGGTGCAGAGCGTTTTCAGGTATGATGTTGTTTCTCCTATGAGTTCTATCCTATTCTGTATCTTTGCTGGTGGAGCATTGCATCTTATCCTCCCTTGCACATTATTCCTGTCATTTTCTTCATAAATAAAGGGCAAGTACATTGTCACATGTTAGCGGTCTCATAGGTTGTCTCCTGCAATGCCACATAGTATTTAATGACATGGATGAAATGGAGGGAGGTGAGAGAAAGATATCGTTGTTTCGCGAAGCAACTGCCCTTTAAGCTAAATTTTAGCACTGTGAGACTACTCTGCCACCATTGTACAAATTGTCATTGCAATGCAACTCATATCATTCGATTTCTATGCACAAATTGAAGGGCTGTAGAGTTACTACAAGTCTATCTACAACTCTACAATACAACTCATTGCAGAGGTTGTCTGGTTGTGTTTTTGGGTGTGTCGGGGATTGGGAGTTTAATCCCTCTCCCTTGTACTTTCCTCTGTTATAAATGAAATTATAAGCAGTTCCTGCATGTTTGAGAAAAAAAAAATCTGGTCTGGTAAGTCATCTCTAAATTGCTTGTCGTTAACTACAAGGCTACTTGTCGCTGCAGCTATCCTGATGCAGTGCATTTTAGCTAAAGATATCCTACCAAATTTCTAAGATAGCTTTAATTAGTGCATTCCTTAATACAAGTGAAATGACTATTTGTTATGTTTCTAATTTATTACGTTTGCATACAAGTGAAATGACCATTTGTTATGTTTCTAATTTATTATGTTTGCCTATCTGGTTGTGTTCCTACCTGTATTCTTCTGGTACCCACTTTTTTGGCAAATGTTTACTGTTTCAGAAAGCTCTGGCTTCATATATAAAGAAGTATGCCTACTCGAATGCTAAGACTGAAGACCTATGGGCTGTTCTTGAGGAGGAATCTGGGGAGCCTGTTAAGGATTTGATGACTACATGGACTAAGCAACAAGGATATCCTGTTATTTATGCAAAAATCAATGGACATGATTTGGAACTTGAACAGGTTTGCTGAAACAACTTTCATTTTCATATTTGTCTTCAGTGATGTATTACTTGTTGGTTTTTCAATTTCTATTTTATTTAGCTATATGATGTATCTGACCAGGTCACTTGGTCGTTATTTCTTGTTTCTAGGACCTCTATTTTCTTGGTTTGTTTGGACCATCAAATAGTTTCTTATAGTCAGATAACATGGAACCTGTTTTTCATATTGACTTCAAAATAATATTAATATTATCATGATAATATTAGTGTTTCTTTCCTTTGACTTAGTTTTCATACATCATCTGTCTGTATGTATAGCACAAAGTGAAGCCATTAAGATTTTTACATCCGGATTGTCAGTTGTTTGCTGCCTCTCAAAGTGCAGATGGGGAGAAGAATCAAAACATTTGGGTCAAATTGAATATTGATCAAACCGGATTTTATAGAGTGAAGTATGATGATGAACTTGCAGCTGGACTTGTAAATGCAATCAAAGCAAAGAAGCTCTCATTAATGGATAAGATTGGTAAAGATAAGAAAAATTTAGCGCTATTGTATACTTTTTCAAGGTTTTTGACAAGATGTCACATTCTTCTTGCAGGTATCGTGGAAGATTCATATGCGCTCTCTGTTGCTTGCAAGCAAACACTGACGTCATTGTTGCGACTGCTGAATGCTTATAATGATGAGTCTGATTACACTGTACTTTCACATGTAACCTCTGTAAGTAATCTTGCACCTCCAGTGGATTCTAAAACCTTATATCTCCAAATCAATTCTGTGGCATTTGATGTTCCTATTAAATATCAGATTCATGTGTCCTCTTTCTTGGCAGGTATGCTTAAGCATTTCTAAAATAACAGTTGATGCTACTCCTGACATGAACAAAGATATCAAACAACTTTTGATCAACCTTCTTCTCCCAGCTGCCATGTATGCCAATAGGCTTCATATTTTACTTGTTTTCACCATGTGTATTTGTGGATTGACATAAAATTATGTTAACTTTCCATGTTTATTTATTTGTGTCCTACTTCTGTATCCATATGCATATAAACAGAGAACTAGCTTAAGCTTAGTGTTAATTTCTGCTACTACAAACATTCTTGCTTCTCCCTTGTCGTGACTTGTGACCATATTAAAAGTATCCATGTACCTAATATTTTCCATGGCATATGAATCAAAGTATGAACTATAACTACTAGAAGCTCAAGTTAGTTAGCTTCAAAATAGATATCAGACTTCAAATTTACATGCTGTGTGCAGTCTCATAGTTTAAATGAACAACAAGCACAATAATTTGCACCGTGTATTGTCATGGGATATTTGTTATAATCTGGTATAAATAAATGTGTATTGTCATTGAGTTTCAGTACAATCGCAGAAGAAGATAAGTCATGATGGAGTTGTGCATGAAAAATATATGTTCTGATCAAATTTGAATTGTAAATTTAATTTTTTTTTACGGAAAAATGATTTGTAGGGGCGGTTGGTACTGTAGCCGCCCCTACAAATCGATTTGTAGGGGCGGCTGGTGTTCCCAGACCGCCCCTATAAATCGATTTATAGGGGCGGCTACAGTATTAACCGCCCCTACAAATACATGATTTGTAGAGACCCTTGCGTAGGGACGGTTGGGCAAACCGCCCCTACAAATGGTCTACAACTGCCCCTAAAAACCCTTTTTGACGTAGTGACACCGGGCCTCTTGCTGTGATTTGCACATAGATCTCCAGGTTGGTTGCCAGAAGCGGTCCCTTTGATGTGTTGGTTTTCTCAAAAAAAATAGCTAAGTTGACTGGAGCTACACAGTTGACTACCAAAGGCAGTTACTGCGGGCTGGCTTTGCGACTGGCAGCGGTCTGTGTGCAGCTATCCTCGCATGGTAGTGGTTAGTTCGGTAAAGAACAACGTCGGCGTACGGTGCAAGTGGCAATTATGTCGTGACAATGACACAGTTTGTAGCGACCTGCAGCGATTTACCTTGCATGGAAGTGGCTTGCTCTGTTGCTCGGTGTAGGACATCGCCTTAACGACGGTGCAAACAATGACGATGGTGTCTCGACTTGATAGTTTTGTCATCTGATGACGACGTGTGGTTTGGGTTGTCTTGTAGAATGATGGAGTTTTGTCATCCAATGACGGAGTTTGCGATCTCAGGCCCACGCACTGCTGCCCGCGGCCATCTGGCCCGCGCGCTGCCCCACGCTGCCGCAAAGCTGGCTAGCGCATCCACCCTCGGGCGGCGCGCCATTCTTCCTCGCGAGCACGTGCACCACTCATCCCAGGTGGATTGTCCCCATCCATTCTTTTTCCAGGGGCGAGGTAAACCCGAATCTTGGGAGAATATTCCCCATGTGGGATGACTCTGTCCCTCATGCCTTCCAACCAAACATCTAGAAAAGTGGGATTGTCCACCCAATCCCACATCATTCCTCAAACCAAATACTACCTAAATAATTGGAATTGCTCTTATTTGGACGTCCGGACCCAAATAAACTATCAAACGCCTATGACAACCTCACGTTCCTCTCCCTACCATCCAATGATTCATTCTTATTCACTCGTCCAAAGGCTTAGCCTCACATTTTCTATCTTATCTTCTGCTCCCGTATCTTCACCCAGAACACCTTTCTCGCTTCACATCTTCCTCATCCTCCTCTCACACGCTTGCCATCTCAAGACGAAGCGATTCCTCATGGTGAAGCCTGGAGGTGAGCGTTGTGACACAGGGGTGGAGGTAGTGCCGGTGCCGGCGAGCTCCAGCCCACAGGCCGAGCCCCGCGCCCCTCTGACTTTGAGACTAGCCCCTCCCCCTTTCCCCTCTTGGATAGATCTCTGTGGCTACGTTGGAGGAGCATGAGGCTCTGGCGCGTTTGTGGGCAAGGAGCAAGAGGCAGAGCAGTGGTGTGCTGTTGAGCGGAGGGCTATGGCCGTGGCTGGAGCTCCTCGCCAAGATCTATTTTGGCGGATCCTTCATTCTTGTTATGTTGCAACATATGATTATTTATGTTGCATTGATCTTTTTAGAGCCGTTGCATTAACTCATTCGGAATTTTGCACCGCATAATAAGCGGATTTTGATATGTTTCTGTTCTAGATGCATTTTTTGGATGTCGCGGCCATTATACCTATATGTCCCAACAATAAGTTGGTCTTGTTGCAATGACTTTTCTCTGCCAGTTGCTGGTTTGTTTGGTCGAGATGGAGATGGAGATAGACATGTGTTTTTCTATGTTGTAGTTGCATGTTTTTCGATTGTGCAACAAGCTACCTAGTTTTTTTTTGAAACATTTTGTATTTTTTTGTTGCAGGTTTCCTCTAGTTGCTTGATAAGATGATTGAAGATGTTGCAACAACTATGTTTTAATGTTGCAGCAAGTTTCCTCTAGTTGTTTCATAAGTTGATTCAAGATGTTGCAACAACTTGTTTTAATGTTGCAGCCATAACTCTCTCCCTTCTCCTCTGCCATGTTTGGGTGGTGCAACATGAGGTTGTAGGTTGGTGCGTAGTTGTGCTCCGCCTTGTTCTAGAGGTGTGGATATAGTACCAAATTAGGTTGGACCAGCACCAAAATACGTGGACCGGTTATGTTTTTTCTGTATTTATTTTTTTCGAATAAGGGTAACCTGGTAATTGTAGATATTCATTCATCCTCTGTTTCAATCTGAATCGCGTGCTCATTCACCTCGAGTCAATCTAAAATGTGCTCTCACTCTCCTTTCTTCTCCCACCGGGAGCACCCAGACCGCCGCCGCCCGGTTGCGCCGCCAGCCGTAGCTCGCGGGCCTCCTCCTCCCTGACGGCACGGAAGGAGGTCGTTGGCATCCACCTCCGGTGTAGGCTGACGGGCTGTAACGGGTTCAGCAGCATTTCCACAGGAAAACAGAGGAGATGTTGATTATATAGAGGCTTTGTTTAGATTGCAATGAGATTATGCCTGCGCAAGTTTTCAAGAGCTGTCGATCAAGTCCGCAGTTGTTCTGAATCTTTTGAATGTAATTGATTCAATACGTGTATATATAAAAGACTAGTTTCTGAACTGATTTCATCTTATCATCATACAACAAAGGAGCAAAAATTTCACCTCAAAGTTCGGTTTACACTTGAAGCTGTTATATGCAGAAACCAAAACGTATTTTTTTGAAGAGGACCGTACTCTTATCAAACTGAATGAAATCTGCAGCCAGTTAGCGGCTGGGGTGGCAGCGCTGGGTCTACCGGCAGGGGGGGGCGCGTGGCGGCAGCGAGCAGTCGGGTGTTCGAGGCAGCGGCCTCCTGTCGGAAGTTTGGGAGCGGCGGCCTTTGATATCCGAGCAGGAGGCGTCCGGCTGGGGCAAATCTGAAACAAAGAACCCCACGTGAGAGGCTTAAGGGCATAATCTCAAATTACTAATATACTCTATACTATAGAAAATCTGTTTTATAAATGGTTTTTCTCAATTAATTAGTTAGAAAATATGGGACTTCCCACCCGAGGAAAGGAACCCGATCTCTTATTTGGTTATTTGGTAATAATAATTTAATCTATCTATATCTATATCTACTATCTACTACTCCTGTCTATCTACTATACACTATAAAAAGTGAGAAGAAATTAAGAAAATATCTTTTAACCTAATCTATTCTGTCCACTACTAATTAATCTCGTCCTCGGATACATATTTTTACTAGGATCTTGCATGTGTGTTGCGACCAAAAAATAATAGCATGACAATTTGAGTTTGGACGTGTATTGTATATGACCAAAAAATGATATTTTGAGCATGATGTTCCTAACATTCTATTTGTAGCCAATCATCAATATTACATGAGTTTTCATGAAGCATGAACAATTATAATATAATTCAAGTTTTGATTTAAAATCAAAACAATATAGTTCATACCATAACAATCGTGTTCGTTAACACTATGGGTCTGCTTGGTACAACTCGACTTCACTGGTGAAGTAACTTTAATTTAGCTTCGGGTTCATAAAGCAGCTTTATCAGTGAAGCTAAAGCTGTTTTTAAAAAACCATTTGGTAATAAAATAGCTTCTCAGGAAAGATAGCAGAGAAAGAGCTGGGAGAAGCTAGTATTTTTAGCTTCACTTGGGAACTGTGCATATGAGAGAATCTTCAGAAAAACAACTTATTAGGCATGTTTGGTAGGAGAAGCTGGAAAACAACTTTTGTGAAGCTGGGGGAAATCCGTATCAATGCAAATAAGCCCTATCTATTCTACCATGTCTGGTGTGTGATACTGATATGCTTAAGATAGTCTTGTAAAATTCTCTAAGAATTTCCATCATAAGCAGTAACTATATCATGAAGTATTATAGATCAGGCCACCGCTGACTTTGCGATCTTGGTTGGTGTCGAGAGTGAAAATCTCACAATCATATTTTCTGATGATAATGGTGGACTGGGGGAAGGAGGAACGGTGCGAATGACATAATGGGAGAGCAAGTGATGGAATGGGAAATGATAGAAGGAAGGCAATGATGTGGATCTGATTAGTTGAACCCTAGGAGTTGGAAATTGTTCGACATAGAACTAAGCAACCATCGACGCCACAGATGAGGGCTCGACCTGGTACACCATTACCGACGCGAGGCTTGATAGCGACGGCTACTGGAATACCAATGATGCAAGTGGAACCGTGGCCTACGGAGCTACCGCCGGCACTGGTGGCGGTGTCGCCTGAAATGCCACCACTCATGATTCATCAGTTGGTGCATGCTCCAGTTATTTGTAGCAGTGGCAAGGAGGCTTCCATATGGATTTGTTTCCAGACGAGAAGTGTACGGTAGGTTCGCCTCTATTGTCGGTCTATTGGCTGTAGAGAGAGTGTTCCTCTCTATGTCGGTGTACTGAAACTATAGGAAAAAAACTTAGTCATCTGCATTCGAAAAGGCATGGCAAGGTACTAGGCAAAGGAACCAGCTTCGAGAAGAATTGGCTGACCAAAATACTCTCCTCAAATGTGACAAAAGAAAACAGAATAAATTCCCACCAAGCTGGCAGAGATAGGACCCGCAAAACCAATCAAATGGCCAGGACCCATGATAAGCCTAGTGTTCACAAGACCATGTGAGATTGCATTTTCGCCAGTCGAGCATTGTCACGCACGATTCCAGCGCCCCTAGAGCTAGCCAGGACCCCATACTTGCCACGCCGTCCCTAGAGACAACACATGAGGCTTTGTTTGGCTTATGTCAAGCTTCGATCCTTACAAGTTGTCGCCCTCCTCACAGGTCATAGTGCACCTCCAATCCCCATGGGTAGCAGTGTCCCCGCTCATCGTGGTGTCATGCCCCTCTCCTCGCTCATCCCTTGGCATGAGAGGAAGGCCCCCAGGCAAGAATACCGGGAGTGGACCACGGGCTTTAGGTTGGCGGGGTGGGCGGATGGAGTAGCGCGTGTGGGAGGAGGAGGCGCAACCCTCGCTGGATTCGAACACAAGGTCAAGCACATGTATGGTGTATGCTCGATATCTCTCTATTTCATTCTAAATAATATAGTGGCTACCGCCTCCTGTATCGTGAGATAGGTCGACCATGTGACCATCTGCATCACGTGCAACCGTCTTCCTAGTCGTTACCATCGATGACCTCACCACAATGCTTGAGCTCATGATAAATATTGAATGCTGATAGATAATTCAATGTTTTCAATGATTTGCTAAGTAGGTTGTCGAGGATGGTGTTGCTGTGTTAGAAGTCTGTGCTGCTGCCACCATCATCAAGGTGCGGTTCCTTCCCTCCTAGCCTTAATGTGGCAGGAGCGCCATTGGTGGGGTGGTGGTCAAGGCTGGGATGCTGATGGAGGAAGGGCCTAGGGTGGCGGGAACAAAGGTAGCTGAAGGGTCTAGGGTGGCTTTTGTGGTAGGTGGTGGTAGTAGATAGGGCTAGAGCGACGATGGCAGCTGCGACAACAACGAAAGGAGCTATGACATCTTCAGTGGTAGGCGGTGGTGGTGGAAGGGGTTAGGGCGGTGGCTAAGGAAAACAACATCGGGTGGGGAAATGCATGTGGACTGAAGAAGAAGAAGAAGAAGAACGAGACGAAGAAGGAGAAGGAGAAGGAGAAGAAGGAGAAGGAGAAGGAGAAGGAGAAGGAGAGGAAGAAGGAGCAGGAGCAGGAGCAGGAGAAGAAGGAGAAGGAGAAGGAGAAGCAGAAGAAGAGGAAGAAGGAGGAGGAGGAGGAGGAGGAGGAGGAGGAGGAGGAGAAGCATAAGGAAGAAGAAGAAGAAGAAGAAGGAGAAGAAGAAGAAGGAGAAGGAGGAGAAGAAGGAGAAGGAGAAGGAGAAGAAGAAGGAGAAGAAGAAGCGAGAGAGAGAGAGAGAAAGATAAGGTAGGAATGCACCACGGCATCCATCAACTTTGGACTTTGGTGGGAATTGAGCGCACCAATCCAATCCCTAGCACGGGAGGGCTTGAAACCAAGCCTATGTGATGGTGTGAACCCTTTTCAGGGTTGGGACTAGGCTACCATAGGGGGAGGCGGACGAGGGTCAGGGGACGGGAATAATATAAACCATAGGGAGAAAACTTGTTTGAGGGTAGTGTGGCGGTTCTTGCTTGGCAAGAGAAAAAAGGTTGTGTTTTGTAACAAGATGTGAACTAAAACATGGTCTCCATGCTATAAAGACCTTTAAAGTTTCTTCTTTTTTTTAGTTTGTTGATTTTTATTTTGTACATCAGAGTTTCTAATGTCATGGGTACATGTTTTATTGTTAGGACATGAGTTATCTGTATATAATAACTATGGTTTGATGCATCTTCATTAGAAAATTGTCTGAAACTAAAAACCCTCCGTTATCTAATCTAAAAAATAATGACCTCTCTAAGTTAAAAAATAGTGCAATGTGCCAAAATAGCTTCAACATCACAAGGTGTTTTTTTGTCCTTTCTCTCTTTCTCTTCTCTATGTAACGCGTGAGCTCTCCTTCCGGTGTTGGTGTGGGACTATGGAGCAACCAGCTCGTTCTTTGTAGTCTGTAGTTACATGCCTTATTCTTATTTTAACTATTGTATGCAAAATCACATCACATATATATAGCAGCCGAAGTTGTCCCCACTTATTTCGTCCACTGAAATGCCTAAGGCATAGCGAAGTCCCGTGTCGATGTCTTATACACATTGTCACATGATTTGTATAGAGAGGACACGCCAACAATCTTGCTTATCTCCTAGCCACAACATTGTTATCATACACGTGTCACAAAACAAATGACCTAACGAAATACTTGCCAAGGCATGTTCGCGAAAAAAAATTGCAGTGAACTTCAGTCTACAAAACCATAAGTTGCAGCATTGTTGGATAGGAAATGAATTAGATGGGAAAGTAAGGTTCTGTGTGATGAGCAATATATTTCCCTCACGAACAGCGGCCGCCAGGCTGGCCGCTGCCGGTGGTAGAGCCACAGAAAGGGGAGGGAGAGGAGGAGGACGAGTCACACCTAGGTCGATATGGCATGGTCGAGATTCGGTGGCACGAGTGGATCAACGCTGGTAGCGGGCACAAGTTGAGGATGGCGGTGTGGGCACGTGGGTAGGTTCAGGACGGCTGCATGGAGAACCTTCCGATCTGGATGTTGGTCGCGCAGGTGAAGCTCTGCGACAGCGGAGGTGGTGGCCGTGCAGAGAGGTTAAGCCCTGGCGGCGGTGCGATGGAGTCGGGGAGGGAGAGTGGCGACGACGCAATGTAGTCGGGAGGAGGGAGAGAGGATGGCTCGAGTTGGATTCTGAGGGTTTTCGGTGGATGGGGGTGCGAAATGGGAGCAGGCCACTATTTAAGCTGAAATCACCAATTCAATTCTAGGGCCAGCTAAACGGGTCGATATCTGGAAACTGTTTCAATTCGGGCCAATTTAGGGGAACAAAACATGCCATTAGTGAAATACTTGCCAAGGCATGTTCATGAAAAAAAGAGAGCGGACTTCAGTCTACAGAAACCAAGAACCATAAGTTGCAGCATTGTTGGATATAGGAAACGAATTAGATGGGAAAGTAAGGTTCTTGTGATGAGCAATATATTTCGCTTGCGTTGATTCTACAGGAGAGTATGGTCTATACAGTACCATATTCTGTCACAATCAATATTCTGAAGAAAACAAGAATTCTGGAACAATGAAGAGTTCAAGCGTACATTGCCATAACACCGTATTTTTATTCTGCATAACAAACAAAGATCACATTAACTCATGCTTTTCCTCTTATTAGAAAACCTTTTCCTCATGTGCGTGCAATCTGAATCAACAATCTCGCAGCTGGCTATGTAGCTGTAATAAGGCGGCAAGTGTGACGTCCACCAAACCACCTCAAATCTCCCTTTCGGAGTAATTCTTCCATACATTACTTCACCGATAGTTATTTTGGGAACCTGGTCATGATCAAACCCTATTCTGTGGTGTTTGTCAACTTGGACAAACTGAGAAATATTCGACAATCTACTTATGTAATAGTGTTCATTTTCCATCCTGATATTCTGTGCATCAGTACAATAGGGACGTAGGTTTTTCTGTCCATTTGTTTTTACACATGCAAGAATATTGCGCCAGTGCTCTTTGCTAAATCTAGCCCTTAACATGCCAGCAATATTTTTTGAATTGGAAAACGGACCAATGAAGTCCCCATACATGTCAGTGTGGCTGTAGTACTCCTCAAATATCTTCACTGCTAGTGATGCCAACTTAGGATGGTCTTGAGGAGATGTGCTTCCAAACACAAGCACCTTGAAGAAGTACCAGCATGCTTCTCGAGACAAAAAGTTCAACCTTAGAGCTTGTGTCGTTCCAAAGTTCATTATTTGCTCTGATCTTCCTGTGATTATAATTTTACTTCCACTAGGAAGGATACTCCGAGCGGCGGCGAACAGGCTCCTCCATTCCGCATCATCATCATCAATACCATCCTCCCCGTCTAGCTCTACTATAACCAGTATTTTTTCTTCATTTAGAGTGTCGTTTTTATGCTTGATTATGCCTCCATCCTTGAGGGTGGATAGTTTCTCTGTTCTGAGCTTATTATTTCCACTTAGAAAGACAATCTGAGAGAAGTGATCACGCACCCTCACGTCGTAGCAAACATGCTCAACAAATGTGGTCTTTCCAACTTTTCCTTGGCCAACGATTGGCAGGACACCCAGATTGCATTCACCAGGAGGCTCCCTCTGCAACAAGAAATGGACGGTTCGCTCCATTTCGGCATGGCGACCAAACATGCATTTCTCAAGTAGCAGGTGCATGCTATATGGCTGACGGCACATTCGAGGGTAGCCTTTCAGAAAAGCTACAAACTCATGCATGTCAGCCACCACGCTAAGTACGCTATCAAGCATCAGTTTCAACTCCGTTGAGGGTAGCCTAGCAGAGGGAGGAGAATGCTTGCCTGGATTGCTGGATGCAGACGACATGGCTAGAGATCGGTTGTGATGATGATGTTTCACCTTTCGGCGGCCGTCTCCGCAGTTGAGGTACCGGAATTTGTCAAGCAGGTAGTAGCCTCTGTGCATCTTTTGTCTCAGCGAGTGGAGTTGGCGAAGCATTGCTGCATTTGTGATGAACCTCCCATCAGCCTCCTCGACGGTGACGGCGACTCGGAGTAGAGCCCACTCTAGCCGCCGTAAGATCTCCTCTTCGGACAACCCGGGTGTTGCCCAATATTTGCTGACGAGGAAGGATAGGCATCTTGCAGCAAGTTCGCCTAAAACAGCAGAAAATAGCGCATCCATCTTTGGCAAGTTCGCTGGATGGATGAATAGATGGTAAGGGCAGTCCCAACGGTGTATTGATGATGGTTTCTATCCTCATTAAATGATTTGCCACGTAGGTAAAACGCTGATATGGCAACGTAATTAATGAAGAAAGAGAGCAAAAATCATAGAAATGGTTTCCTCATGAAGAAATCAGGTCTACTCTTGACCCAATGCACCAAGAAACCATGAAATTACCATTGGGGAGAAACCACCAGTTTTTATGGAGCTCATGTCGCACTCCCATTAGAGGAAGAAGATAGAGTTAGGAGAGAGAAAGAGAAAATAATTATTACTTATAGAAACCATGCATGGGTTGGAAAGCAGTACTTTTTTGGTGCGATATCCTATGTTATAGAAACTACTAGTTTCTTTCATTGAGACTGCCCTAATTGGAAGCAGAGTATCTAGAGTTTGATCAATGCATTTCTTCTTCCTAATGTTGGCTAATATAAATAACTGCGGAGAGGACCGGGTCTCAGAATGCATGCATCATTGCATGGGACCTGTTCCAACTTCCAACATATGATCGTGGGAGAAAAGGTGCAGAAAACCGGGTCATAAAATTAATAAATCTGGCCATACCATGCAGAAACCATGACTTAGTTCAGAAGAACAACCATAACCTACAAAAAATCAATCAATCAATAAATCATGCGCCGCCGCCATACGTCATCAAGACACAGCTCTGACCAACGCATCGGAAACATCCCGATCATGCACACAGACAAGGGTGTCGCAAATTAGTTGTTTCCGTTGCACATTGATATTTTAGTTACATCCAGATGTTGTTTGGTTGATGGTTGATGGTTTCTGCACACAGCTCTATCCAACGCATCGAAAACATCCCGATCAAGACACAGCCATGATCGGCTGATGGTTTCTGCGACTGATAAGTCAGCTGAAGCTGATTTGTTGTAAGAGAAAAATATTGTTTCATGGCTGATAAGCCAGTTGATAAGTTTAAGCGAACAACCGATGGTTGGCTAAATAAATTAGCAAATATATAATGAATGGTTGCACCTGTTCGACTATTGCTTGTTTGCTTAGAATGGGAGAGAGTGACAGAAAACTAAACGGCATAGTTTGGTTATATATTGTATGAGAAAGTAGGCCATGGTATATAGGAATGGGACAACTGTGCTGCCATGCAAAGGAAAGTCAAAATGGTGCACGGTCAAATTGCTGCTAGGATATGAAAAAACAAAAATAATTTTCAAGGTTTCGTGGACTATTGAATTCGATCCTGCATGAGCTTGTTGACATTTTTCCTTCATTTTTCCCAAAATCATAGATGTTCATGTACTCTCTCTTGTATGTCAATATAATCACTTTTATATGGTGTTTAAGTCTGGATAGATCAAGTTGAGATATGCCTTGATCTACTCCATGTATCATGTATGTCCTGTGTGTTTTCTGTCTCTTAGCTTGTGATACATAGGTGATAGGCGCAACATGGTTGTCCGGGACGGTGGTAATGGCCTAAAGGTTGAAGGTCAAGCAAGGCTCGTGAAGATGGACCAAGGATAGTGAAGGGTGGGTGAGGAGGCATGGGATAAAGAGCAAGAGTATATGGAGTGAAGGTGATGAAGACAGCGTCCGACAAAAAATTGGATAGTTTTACCCTCAGTGTTATTTTGATTGAATGATTCATGTAAGGACATTTTAAGAAATAATTCAGTCCTATATAGTTGTTGGGAGATGCCTAGGCCCAAAGGAACCCCAACCGCTCTTTGTCACAAACTATGTTTTCAATGGGAGACTTGATGGAACACATTCTGAAGGGCATCTTTGAAGGGGCGCTAAGTTGAATTCTATTGGGAATACATGAAGAAGTCGAAAAGGTGCCGAGGCACGGTCACCTTTGGTGTCCCGAGCAATTGAACTCTATTCGGAATACATGAAGAAGTTGAGAAGGTGTCGAGGCACAGTCACCTTTGGTGTCCCGAGCAAAGGAGGTGTTGCACTTCGAAAACATTAATGAAGACTATGGTCTCACTCACGAGGGTGCCCCACCAAAGTAGTCCGGATGAAGCCAATTCTGACTTGGCCTTGTAGTTTTTGGTAGTGTAAGGACTGTTTTAACCTTAATTGTAGTGGAATTTTTCAGGGATGAAAGGTTTAAGAGTAAAACGAACTGCATGTTATATATGCCATCAGTATAAATAGTGCGCCCATAGAAAATGAAAAGACGAATCACAAAACCGTATTTATGACCTCATATATCCTCACTACTTTCCACACTCTATTGTTGAAGTCTAGAGGCTTCAACAACAGTTGGCGCCGCCCACCTGTGGGATCGAGTTGGTTGTAGCATAATTGTTGGACGATCGATTGTGACAAAGACACGGTCAATGCGTCATGTGTCTGGTGTTGTTGTTCCTTGCTCTAGCCATGATCATTTAAGAAGTAGCTTATAAAAGATCATTAAGAACTTGTGGAAGTGACTCATGTTACAAAGATCCAGCAGGTTGTTGTTCTTGTCCTCCACTTAATAAATCATGTTGAAGTTGTCACCAAGGAGCCACGGCCTGCCCAAGCAGCGCGCACCTCCTTAAACTCATCTAGAAAATTATGGATGTGGGACCAAGGATACTGATTAGAGGAGGGTGAAGGCGGTCTTAAGAGCAAGGTCAATAATAGAGCCAAGTGCTTGGCTATAAGTCAAGTCATAAGAGCCAAGCTATACAATATTTTTTGAAGTGTCAGTAGGGGAGTCCCCTACCTATATTTTTGATATTTTATATATATGTAAAAGAATACAAAATGTACAGACTTTACAAGGCAAACAAAGCCCAAAACAAAAAAGCAGCATACATTAAGGGAAATTCTCACACCACCTAATGAGCACATCTCTAATTTTCTTCTTGGCCTTGATGCAAACCAGGCCAAGCTCTTCCTTGAATGCACGTTTCCATTGATCGAGACTATGGGATTTAGCATCAAAAATCACTCCATTTCTTGTGGTCCATAGCACCCAGCAGAAGCTATACAATAGTTGTCTCCTATTTGTCTATAAATAAGTTTTTTATTATTACATGGTACCATGTCTTACTTTCTCTTTCATATTCCTCATCACATACACTTTTGTTTAGGCCCACAGATGCCTATACTTTCATGTCCAGCTTGTTGCTTGCATGAGAGCCAAACTCTCTTCTCTCCTCTCCTATCTCCTCCACATATGCAAAAATGCTGACTAGCTTGGTTATAAGCTCATTATTGTACCTTATCTAACTAAAACAACAAGTGTCGGTGTTTCGAGTAAACACCAACGAGTAAATTTATAATATTGCGCGTCTGACTCGGATGGTGTGCTAAGAGGACACAAGGATTATACTGGTTTGGGCCGAATGTCCCTACGTCCAGTTTCGGGCTGCTCGTGTTACTAGCACTGAGTTGTAGTAGGGGGTTACAAACTGGCGAGAGAGGGAGGAGCTCCCAAGTCTCCGTGGTTCGATTGCTCGATGTTTCTACTACTCGATCTATCGGTCGATCTCCCTCCCTCCTGAACGGTGCCCTACCTTCCCTTTTATAGACCCAGGGGAGAGAACAGGATACCAGAGTCCGAGAGAAGGGAAGAGGGAAAAAAGAAAGAGAAATAAGGCTCCTGGGGGTGTGACGTCCTCCTCTTCGCGTGGGTCCCGCTGACCCTGTATATCGTGGTGGCAGCGACGTCGCACCGGGGTCCTGTTGGCCGCTGCAGCATACGTGCAGGCGTCGTGCGCCATTCTTGTCTTCCATCCCATCCGAGCGGATGGAATGGTCAAAGGGTCTCCTGATAGAGGCCATACTGGGGGATGGCGGTACAGTACCAGTCAACTGACGCCGGTCGACTGGCGTTGGACGGTGGTCAGCCAGGGAGTTGGCAACACAGTGCTGGCCTGTTGACGCGGTGGGCGACGTGAGTCTCCCAGCATGGCCTGATGCGACCACTAGTCGCATCAGGACATGCTGAGACATGCTCCCATGCGTGTGCCTCCACACTATAGTGGTTGAAGCGGTTCGGGTGCCTCCCTAGGGCCACTACTTTTGTCGGTAGCAAATCTGACCCCTAGGGAACGGGTGAGGCGGAAATCCCGCCCGGGGGGCCGGGCGAGACGAAATCCGATCCTCGGGGGTCGGACGAGGTTGAGCCCTCCCCATGGGACCAGACGAGTCAGAGCCCGTGCCTTGGGGTTGGAGGAGTTGGAGCCCATGTCTTGGGGTCGAACGAGGCAGAAATCTCATCCTCGGAGTTAGAGCCCACGCCTTGGGGTCGGACGAGGCGGAAACCTCATCCTCGGAGTCGGAATAGGCGTGGCCCGGCCCTTGGGGTCGGACGAGGCGGAAACCTCATCCTCATAGTTGGACAAAGCATGGCCCAGCCCCTGGGGGTCGGACAAGGCCGCAGTTGCATCATTAACCATCGGATGAGCCGATGTGACGCTCATTAATCCTTTGGCTCGGATACCTAGATATAGATATCCGACAATAGCCCCCAAGCCTTTGGAGGAGTGAAACACTCCTACAAAGGCTTTTTGCGATCCGTCGTTTGAGGGCGCACAGGAGTACTGTTCGTTACTGTCGCTTTGTAGTCCATCCGCGGTTTCCACAACCAGAGGTGACTCGTCGTTTGTCTGCGACTGCGTGTTCGGTCTCTTTGCGATGCCGAGCCCCCATGCATAGCAGGTGTCCGGTCGGGGGGTCGGTTCATCTTGTGATCGTTGTCCCTCACACGTCCATTCGCTAGAACAGAGGGGCTAAGCCATGCCGTGCTTTCCTCACTGGATGGAGCACGATGCTCAGTGAGTTGTTAACGGGCTTCTTCAAGTGGAGCCCTGGCATCCCCTTCATGGGGGCCTAGTTCAAGATCAGCTGGTGACTGACTCTAGATTCTTGGTGGCCGGTCCATATAGTTCTCAGACCTGTTCGATCAGTCCGAGGGCTCGATGCCTTTCTTCGGGGAAAAACCATGGACCTTGAATCATCCAAGACTCAAA